ATAGAAGATCAGGAAAAAACTTCCTTTTTTAATGAGCTGAATAGAGAAATGTACAGTCAACTTAGAACACAGAGTTATTTTTTTTCTTTCAGATGTAAAGATGGCAAATTTGAGCATGGGCCTCCAATATTATCTGAGATTGCCTGGGTGGGCAAGATAGGCAAGAAAAGCTCCATAAATGCCCTACTGCTGAGGAAAGGGCTTATCCAATGTACACAACTGAAGCACAGCAACTACTGCTCTTCATTAACTGTACATTTTGCACCTGCAGATAGCAAACAGTCTGAATCATTCATTACTATTATCATGAACTGAAACAACATAGTGAAAGCTTATGGCCTCACATGCCATAATACATAGACCAAATAATGTAGCCATTATTTCCACAAGGCAGCCATTAATAATGGCTTTGTTATATATTGATCTGTTTCAGATAGACATGGATAGATTTATATATATTGCATGCTAAAACAGTGGCGGGGCTTTAGAAATCATGGTTGTCTTTGCTTCCATCAGCACACGCTGGTACCACATCTCATAGTTTTTTCCTATTTCTATTTCTTGAATCTTTCCTCTTTTGCTGCTGTCGAGCTAACTCAGAGCCAAACCACCAGCAAACCCCATCACACCCAGTTCTTCAGTGCTCTCCTACAGAGGAAGAGGAGGAAGGGGAAAAAAAGAAAGAAAGAAAGAAAGAAAGAAAGAAATCAAACTGTCCCTTTAAAATAACAAGCATTTAAACTGCTTGTCAGTCATCTTCCTGACAAGGCCACTTGAATGTATTCAGGAATATTTGCATAAATGCTCACAGCGAGTTCACTGTGGCAGCTAGCACTAATGGTACATAAAGTAATTTAGTCACTTTTCTTAGGCATCCTGTCAGGGTGATAAGCACCCCCTTCTTTGCCTTGTTGCATATTAGATCATTAGATAATAAAGTGTTAGAGCATGCAAACTGACAGGGTCTCAGGGACTATCATTTTTCGAGGGCACTGCATTCTGCCAGCGAGGAAAAATAATACAGAAAGTGATGCTGCAATTGTCTTTACATTCTTGTAGAGTCATTGAAAGATTTGGGGGAAAAAGAATTTTTACTTTGTGGTGATAAGAGAGTTTTAACCGGAAACTTTGCAGACATCTGCAGTGGTGGACTTCATGCTGGTTAACTTGAAAAGGATTATTGCAAACCCTGTCAGAATTGCCCCTTCCATAAGCTAGTCACTTAAATTGCACTGGAAAGGTTTTCCCTTTAAAATTGACACCCTGGAACGAACTACAAACTGAAACACATTCTAATGGTTGGGGCCTGCTGGCTCTTCTCTATACATCTTACTATATGTGCACAATTTATAAAGGTCAACCACACCAGTCTTCTGGTTTACCATAAACATAAAACAAGTGAGGATCCAACTATTTGTGAATGTAAAAGTGATAATTACAAAAACCACAAGATTGCTGTGGCTTCCCCTATTTATACCACACAGAGATGTATGAAATAATTGGCCTGTGCCAGCTATTAATCTTCAAAGATACAGAGACATGCTAGAAAAAGGAACTTTACTGGCTGGCAAGCAAGATATAAATAGAGATGTGTCGGATGTCCCAAAAATAATCCAGGCTACCTGCTAATGAAATGGTAAGAACCCAAATGTGGAGATACCAGGCCCCTGAGTGGCTCAGCAAGTAAAGCTTCCTTTCTAGACCTTTGGCATCCAAAGTCTTTTTTTGGTGTCACATAAACTGCAACTCCATCGTTCAGAGCAGTATGTCCCACTGCAGCTTTGTGAGGAAAAATAAGCTGGGTATCACCAACCAAAGCAGGCAGCCAGCACATTTTCATACATTCTCTCTCCCCTGTCCCAGACTTTGTGCTCTCGATGTCAGGCATTCATCACTTTCATGACCAGATAGTTGATTTAAAGAGTCAAATATCTAGAAAAGTACACATTTGGTCAAGAACATACCAGAGTTAAACACCAGCATTTCAAAACCTACAATCAGAAGTTGCTCAGCAAAGCAGCAAACCAGAGACAAACAAGCCACGACTCTGGTAGTTTCCAGTTTACCATTTACAAACTCTGTTCAGGGCAATCTGCCCTCCCCTCAGGGAGGCAGGAAACTGGAAAGAGCAAAGACAAACAAGCTGTCTCTTCTACTTACACTCGAAGATATTATTCAAGATAAAAATTGCAAAACCGAGGATAAGAATACACTTAGTGACTCAAAGTAAAACTAAAAATTTATTTCAGTGAAGGAAACTCTCATCTGTTCCAACAGGTCTAAAGTTCTTGGTGGTTGCCCAAAATTCAACAACATTAAGCCCAGTTGAGACTTTTCCCACTTTTTCTCATTCAGTTAAGTGTTTTAGACATTCAATAGTGACATTTAAAACACTTACTGGATTTCTTTTCTTTTTTTTTTCTTTTTTTGCATCTCTTGGACACAAATATGCATAGAATTCCTGGAGAGTTGGATTGAAGGATTTAGTTTAAAATGAAAGGCTCCACCAAGCCTTTGGGGAAAGTGTAATTTTGTAGGATGGAGGTTGCATTCAAAAGTAAGAATTTATTAGTGGTGGCTTTATGAGGTTGCTTGAGAGGTGCCTGAGAAACTAGATTAGAAAAATCACCTTTCCCGAAATGTACATATGGAGATAGTTTGCAGATGTTGGCTTTTAATAGCTGCACGATATCCAAGTTTGTGTAACTATGCAAGCAGAGTATCGTCTTTTTTCTTTTTCCACCCCCTTCTTTTTTGCCGATAGAATCCTTCAGGTAGACAGGAGAGGGAAGAAGGGAGATGTAAGTGAGGATTTTATGATACCATGCATAGAAACATGAACTTCACAAGTGTGAGAAAGTAAGCATTGTGTTGACCAAAATCATACACTGAGAGGACTGCAAGGGGGAAAAGAGATTGCCACTCTAGTAGGAATAAGTGAAAAATAAGAGGTTTTTGAAAGGCTAGACTTAATGGAAGGATTACGAAGTTGAATGCGGCAAAGTTTCTTTTCATAATGTTCTGCCTCCTGCTAATTAATAAAGACAGAGTTCGAACATTCTTTGTAAAAATTCAGCACAAATTATGACAGTGGTTTGTTTATTAAATTAGGTTGTTGGCAGGATGAAAAAAAAATTCTATAACATGAATTATAGCTGAAAATGGCTCATAGCCTACATAAAAAGTTAGAGCTAAATAAATACAGATGTAAGTTATGTTTATATAATGAGAAACGCTGCTGAGCTAAGAATTTTAGGTTGGTAAGTGTGAATTACAGACCTGATTCTGCAAACACTTATCAATACCCTCAACTTTACTGACACAAGAAGCCTCATTGATCCCAACAGGACCATATGTGCACATAATCTTAAATACATGCATAAGTACTTGCAGGACTGATGCTCGAAAGCATGAACAGAATAGAAAGCTATTTCCACAGGAATCCACTGAGTAGTAGAAACTCTCACATTTACCCATTTCTTGCTATTAATAATTTCTTTTAACATGTCTAGTGACTGTTTTTCTGAGTGGCATTCACTTTCCTGGAGAAAATTTTATCTGCTTTCTTCAAACTCCGTAAAAATCTATTTAATAATTCATCAGATCCTTGGCAAATATTTGTGGAACAAACCAGCATAAAAGGACCAGTGCCTTCTACATTCAACTTCAATAGAAACCCCCATCTCCTAGAGGGCGCAAGCACCTACTGAATTAGGATTACAAACAGCTTTGAAGACAAAGAAATATTCTTCCAAGCTGGAACAGGGAGAGGAGAGTGAAATGCCCTTTGGTATTAGAGTCTTTTTTTTGTCTGGTTGGGGGGTAGGTTGTTTTGTTTTGTTGGGGGGTAGAGAGTTGTGGTTTTTTTGTTGTTTTGTTGAGTTGGTTTTTTTTTTGTGATTTGGGTCTTTTTTAGTGTGGGGGGTTTTGGTGTTTTTTTGGGTTTTGTTTGTTTTTTTGTTTTTTTTTGTTTTTTTTTTCCCAGCAGCCGTCATCAACTTTGAGGACAAAGAGCAAGACAAAATGTTAATCAACTCCAGATTTTTCAAAGAGCATTCACACTCAACAACTCCCATTTTAAGCACCTACAGTAAGCAGCAGATATTATCTTCCAGGACCAGTTGATCTTATGGAAAAGATTACAGTTTCCCAGGCTGCTTCCAGCCACACTGCCCCCTTTCCACCCTTGCTGGTGCTCCCTATGCTTTCAGAAAAGCCAGCCAAACTGCCTTGTGCCACTTCTCCTTCAACTTTTTCAGCAAAACAAGCCGGACTGGCAAAGAGTTACTGTTGAAACTGTTTAAGAGAGATGAACTTCTTCAGATTGAAGGAGGCTAAAGAGCAATCAGACTATCATCTAGGCTGGCGTGTCTATGGTAGAGAATAGCCTGCAGCACAGAGGAAAGACCAGCAGCTGTGGCACGCATGGAACTAGAACTGTCTCAGCTGGCACAGATGGAGCCAGAAGAGAACATTTGTCCACGGCTTGAGTAAGCATAGCGCCTTCCATAACGGCCTCTGCTTTCATTTGCAACAATCCAAAGGAACAACTGGATCTCCTAAAGAGTTCTGCAGTCTATAGGAATGAGTAATCCAATCCTGAATTTGGGTACTGAGCACTTCAGCAATAATGTAACATCCATTGCATGCACAGTCAGAAACCAAACCAATTTGGAAAAGGTCAATTTTAGTTGCTGAATAGACACAACTACCCCTCCCCCCAAAAAATCACCATGCTTCACTAACACAAGGAACAGATTCTGCACCCATGTTTGCCTACCAGTTTGTCACTTCACTACATTTTGTGCTGACCTACTTGAAAAATTCCAGTTTTGGTCTGGAGAACCATCTTTTTAAAGCAGGGGTTAGTCTCTTTTAGGTATCCCAATCCCAAAGGCATTGATCATAACATGACAACTTGAAATCAGCAGTCAGAGACAGAAACCAAATAAAACTGCATTTAAAGTAGCAATGCCAACCAATGAAAATGATATGCCTACCATGTTCCAGATAAGAAGGCGTACCTTCCGAAGGATCGAGTCTTCGAGCTCTCCGCCCATGCTTGGAATTGTTGTGCACAAACATATTGTCCGACACTGCCAACACATGGCCATCAACATTGACTGTTGTAGACACCACAACCTGCAAGCACAAGAGTAAAACGGAGGAACATTTTGACGTATATGTATGTTTTTTAAGAAGCACAGAGTGTAATAAACTCAGTTAAATAAATAACAGCTGGGAGCTGTAGAAAATTGCATAGCTATTTCAGATAATAACTGGTGCTTATGCTGTACAAATCTAACAAGAGACACTATTGATGAGTGGGTCTTTGGCATCGAAAGCTTTTGATGCAGTTTTAAGTCAAATTGCAGAGTTTGTAGCTGAATGGCAGACAGCGCACCGTTAACTATCATTTTAACAAGAGGATCTTTATTAAGTATTTTTCCCACATGTACAAGGGCAGCTGTGTTTCACCCTAAATTATCCTTCAGTTTCCATGCTGAAGTAGATAGAGCTGTTGACACTGCAAATGAGAATCAATTCAGAATAAAAGAAAACAAAAGTGCATTTTGTGAAGTTGCCATTAGACTTGCCATGTTCCTCCCCAGACAAACCTGCACTCTCACTCCTCAGTACAGTTACCACAGGTTGCTGGACTGGCCCGAATTTCTCCTGAGCTCTATCTCAGTGAGTACACATAGGTGTGTTTGTATATGCACGCATGCTTGACAGTGGGGACTTGATCTGGGGAACACAACCCTATTCATCCAGTGCTAGTATTATTTGTATTCACCAACTTATCTCCATGTCAACACCTCAGTTTGAGGCAAGGGGAAGGAGGTGGAGGGGCACTACCATGGAAGCAGATTCCAATGCTTCTGTTCCATGGAGTGGCTCAGGGTGAGAAAGGAGCTGCACTGGAGGGGAGAAAATGGTTATGTGTTGGAATCAGAGTTAGGAGACCCAGCTGCTCAGAGGGACCTCTCAGCCTTGAAGCTCAGAAGACACCATCCAAGCGGAAACCCCCGTTCATTTTCAGGGCACCTGAGCCACAAACTGTAGTGGAGGAAACCAGGGGGTGGACAGGGCGAGATCCAGGCTGAGCCACCAGCTTACCACCCTGGGTGTCCATCCACCATATTTCAGCTGTGCAACATCACAGCCTTGGTCTTCATTAAGCTGCCCTTCCAATACCTTTTTCCGCCCCCCAAAAAAGCATCATTTCCAGAGCTTTACTCCACCCAACACTTTGGCCCTCAGCTGGCTGCCAGTTTGCCAGGAGCGTGTGCTGCCTTCAAGAACTTCCACTAAAACAATACGAAGAAATGACCTACACTTCTCCTTACATTAAGCGGGGAAAGGGATTAAAAACTGAAACCCACAGAGATATGTTTATTCATGCGACCTCTTACAACCAAATATAATAATTGTCTGTTAATTGCAGTTTCAGCTCCCACCTCATGCTTCGACATGTGAAACAGCAATCAGCAGCTCCTGTTTAATCCACCTATTATGTTGACTAATTAACTTTGCTCGACAGTTTATTTCTTCCTCCATTATCAGCCCCTGTCAGCCGCAAGCACACTGCCGCAAAGGGGGACCTCAGCCCTTTTGATTGATCACCGATAGATTGACATGCAGATTAATTTAATTAGAATCACCTCACTTGAGAAATGAAAGACAATGGCAAGGGGGCTAATAGATCTGCTCTTATAATGAGGCAAGCCTCCAGAGCTGCGGCAGAGGATTTCTGATTTATTTTGTTGAATTCCCCAGTCGCTCTGAAAGGCTCTTGCTTTAATTGTTCTTGGTTTTGAGAGGCTTTAGCCTCTGAAGAGGTGAAATGCTTTACAAAGATTGGCAAACATTGCTTCAACTCTCTTAGGAAGCTGCTGCCTCTCAAAGTTGGTCAAATGGGGACACTTAAAGGATCGCTTGCAACAATTCAATTTCATTACTTGAATTGGATTTAAAAATTTTAGACAAAAAAATGTTCACCTATTACTGACCACCTAGAAAATACATAAAAACATAAAATAAGCAAAGTTGCTAAGCTGGCAGTAGGCAATTCCAAAGTTTTGCCTTAAAAAAGAGAAATACAAAAGAGAATATTTTACATCTAAAGGATCTCAAAACTGTCCATCAGAATGGCATTCCAGGCAATAGATTTTGTATGTGTTTTAAGTGAAAGATATTAAAATACCAAATAAATGATTCAAGAGCTCTTACAGATGGAAATTTGGGGAAGAGAAGGCACCAAACAGTAGGCACAGTAAGTAAGTTCTTCTCAAATCAAACTAGGGGGGAAAAAATGGCAAAAAAAAAAAAAAAAAAAAAAAAAAAAAAGCCCTATATATAAAATTCCGAAAGGGATTTCAAAAGTAATTTATTCTTTGCATTCCTGAGGGATAGAATAAAGTTTATGACATTTTCAATAAAATATGATCCTATATAGTAAGTGGCTGAGGGTTTGTGATCTTATTTGTGCACTTGCAACCACTGTCAGTTCTTTGCAACTGGGATTTGGAGCCAAATCCTTAGCTGGCACTGCTTGTCATAGCTCCATGATTTATACCAGTCTCTTATCTTCTTCTAGGAATCTACTAAGTTGCATACAAAAACAGATAATATTGCAACTGATAATAACGGCCACAACCTGAAATACAGCCTCCATTACAAAAAATGTAGGGGAACATGCATACTTTGCACTGAAACTGATCAATCCTATGCTGAAAGCAAACTTCTGAACGTTTTGAGAAATGAGGATACTAACAGTTCAAGAACAACAACAGCAAGGCAGGTCCCAAACCTCTGAAACGGGTACCTAAGCAGCTGTCTCTATCCGTGCGCCTTGCTAGGGAAGAACTAAATGAAATAATTTGTGAGGTTGCTTTTATGGGACTAAAACTCCATTCAGTTTTTCCCCTTCATGTTTCTGAAATTGTTGATGCAACAGATTTTGAATTACTTAACAGTGCCTCCCTACCTAACCCCTGAACAGAGTTTGATTTACTATGAACAGATCACATTGGTGCAGTTCGTCAGTGTCGTTAGCAGAAGATACTATAAAAGGAATCCCCAAGAGAAACTGTTTCCAGTCTGAGGAAATGCATTAAAAAAAAAAAAAACAAACCAAAAAACAGTGGTTATTCTTATGTGTCTGAAGAAAAAAAATAGTGCACCTGCAAGAAACAGCAAATACTGTTTAATACTTAAAACACAAAATCTCGTTAACACAAGAATACTGAGCATACAGTGCACTAACAAAATATTAATACCTCTAATTATTAACAGGGAAAAAATACAGCTTGAATTTTGTGTGCTATAGTTACATACTTGGACTGCTACAGAGCACTTACATACTTACAAGTTCTACTCATATTTTTTAATCTAAAAAAATACTACACTCTCCTCATCTTGATTTTGAAACGACTGGGACATGTTCAAGTCAAAGCACACGCTAAACCTAATTTGTGGAGAAAACATAAAATTAGGGGGAGGGGAGAGCCAAAGTAGATGTGGAATGGCCACTGAGGCATCCTAAAACACAGACCATAGCAAGAGGGAAAGGCTCACTACAGTTTAATAAATGATTAATGAGGTGCTGACACATTAATGTAAGCACAGGGACAACCAGGCCTGCCAAATCTCAAACCTTTCCAAATTTTGTCAACAAAACACAGTTTTAATTTGGGACAGGCAAACACGGAAAACGATTTTGAGCTTTAGCTTCAGCCCTTCATAGATTTTGAATTTAAATCCTGTATCAACACCAGGGGAGACAGGGGTATGAAAGAAACACATTGGTTTATAACTTTGTTCAATGAAGTTGGCACTATCAACGGCATTAACGTATCACGGCTCTGTGAATTATTCTGCCTGCCATTAAATAGTCCAGTTGTGAATGCTTTGGGGCTTAGTTTAAAAAAATATTCTGAGATCAGGAGCCTGTAGATCAAGCTATTTATCCACGTTTAGCACTCAGCCCGTTTATTTGTTATGGTACCTCACCTAATATATCAAAATTAAGCATTGCATGACTCCTCATTTTTAACCACAGCCCATTAAGCTTCACTAACTGATTAAGACATAGCATGTTCCTTGTGCTTTCAATTTTCTCCAGTGTATATTGAGGGCTCTGATATTTTTGTGATGTCCCCACCATCCAGTGGCAAAGGCAGAAAAAATCTGATTAAGATGATCTCCAGATTTAAAGCACGTCATTAGTGTAAAACCTGTAACTCGTGCATTTGCTGCTCTTCTGAAGTCTATGCAGAAACGGCTTGAGCAATGCATCTTTATTTTCATCACCACTTGGTGACCTCTTCCTACAGTATCTTCTTTATCCTAGTAACTAGAAATTACTCTCAATTTAACAAGACACTTAAAAATGTGCCTAACTTAAAGCACACAAGTACAACATATTCAGTCATTTTGCTCACGTGCATGAGGCCACGTCAGGCACTTAATTACCTTGTTGAATTGGGCCACAGCTCGTACTGCTATTTTCCAGGTTGTTTTTTTTTTTTCGCCTTTCCCTTCTCTAGGGATGGAGCCTTGCATGTCCAAATTCCATTATCTGGAATTCATGAAGCATCATCTCTGTCTCTTATGCAAATTTGCAATAGGACACAAGTGGCTTCAATTCAAACATGAGTGGCAGCATCCCATTGAGGCAAACTAGCAGCCTAGGCTGAGGAAGAGGTTGAGGTAACAGCACTGAACAGCAAGGCAATTTCTGAGTGACTTTTCAAGGTTTTCATAATAAACGAATGTTCAGGGTTTTATGCAGTGACTCAGTCTGAAAAGTTTTCTCTAAATTATAACTTGACATGTGTCAGTTTGCAAGCAGCTGTGCTAAAACAAGAACAACAAGATAACTGGGGCACTTGGGTTTCATTAATTACAATAACATATGAAACTGTTTAGGTTATATGAATGAGTTTTCATGCTGAAAAACAAAATCCAGGCAGAGTTTACCCGTGATACCACCTACTTATTACTACCACTGATTGGGACTCCACAGCCTATCCCACCAAAGCCAACAGCTTATTGTGACAGAGAATGCAAAAACAGACTGAGCATCTGTTCCATGGGGTTTTTAGAATAATGAAGACTAGGTTGGACTAAGGGGAAAATTAAGTGGCGTTGCCAAATGTATTGTGCAATTGGGCTGATGAAACAGAGATGAAGTAATTTTCTTGAGAACAAGCAGGGAGTCTGTACCATAGTTGAACACTCAACTGAACTACCTCGAGTCCATGCACGGACAGCATTTGACTTTTCCTGTCTTCACAGAATCACAGAATGGTCAGGGATGGAAGGGACCTCAAAGATCATGAATCTTCAACCCCAGCCACACGCAGGGCCACCAACCTCCACATTTAATACCAGACCAGGCTGCCCAGGGCCCCGTCCAACCTGGCCTTGAACACATCCAGGGACGGGGCATCCACAGCCTCTCTGGGCAGCTGTTCCAGCATCTCACCACTCTCTCTGTAAAGAACTTGTCTTCTGCTAAAACAGACAGAGTTATTACAACCACTCCAGCACACACTCCTGCTGGCACATGACACTACTGATATGCAGCACCCAGTCATCACATGCTTGAGCATCTCAGAAATGTAGGGAAATGCATCTCTCTCCAGGCCCATACCTGCTTTTCTAAGCTTATCCCACTAGTTCAGGAACACAACATTTGGGATAAAACTTCCAAATTAATTTCTATACGTGTATGAAAATTCACATGCAGTTCTTCTGAACCAACATACACTCTACCTATTCCCTACAATTTCTTACCCCATCTTAGATCACAGTAGAGTCAGACAATTCCCTGCTGCATGAAACAAACCTATTAGGAAGGAAATTTTTCAGTACAAACTGTCCTCACTTGGTACAAAACTCATGCCCCTGGCCTTCACTGTTTCACAAGTTCTGTTGTAATGACTCCTAGCAACTCTGGGAGGCAGATAACTGATATCATGCCAAAAAGTGGACAAGCTCTCAGGCAGCTTGACAGTCCAGCATAGAAGGTGGAACAAAGTAAAGGAAGAAAAAATCTTAAATTTTCTGTGAAAAGAGTATGATGCTATTCAAAAAGAATTAGAAAATCTTTTTGAGACAGACTTTTGAAAGCACTGGGAATATGTCTGTGGCACAGAGGAGCTGATGACAAACCCTCTACTCACTTCACAGGGACCTGGATTTCATTTGGTTCCTGTACAACACCATCTTAAATATCTAGGTGCGTCATGTTATCAAGATACTATGTGCATGCGTGGTCCTTTTCATGCCAAGAAATAAAAAGTGAAGACTGGATCCAGTATTCTGACTATTTTAAGAAGTCTACTGCAAAAAGAGTAAGTTCAAGATTAAAAAAAAAAAAGCAAACAAAAAAAATCATCAACAACGCAAGAGCAGCTGTAGTAAAACAAGCTTCAATACCACCCTGTATTACAGTGTAAGCGGTTCACTCTGCTGAAAGTGATTAATTTCTTGAAAATGCTAAGGTCACACTAATTGACACGACCTGTGTAATTAAGCAGTCTCTGTTTACACACAGAAAGCTCAACCGCTGTGAAGCTGGGTTTGTATGACAGAATGTCTTTACAAGTCAAGAGATCAACAACCTTTCCTATGTCCTACCTATTCGCCGACAGAGGCTCCTGATTGCTGTTCTGAGAGAACACATGAAGGCATTACCATATGAAAATCAGCCTCTAGCCTGGGTGAGCACAAACCCAGCAAAGTGTACATGTTGTGAAGCAAGTTCTGACAGGCCCCAGGGGTGACTGCTTGGCCTGAAGCCCCATGTTGGTGAGTCCTTTTTCCACTTTCACTGATAATGCCCTCTCAAATCACCGCAGAAATGTGACGGTGGGAAGAACATGGGATGAGAAGCTAACACTTCTGCCACAATAATGCTAGCTTTCATTCTGAGTAAATTAATCGCTGTTGCCACATCTACTCACGACTGCACATCTATGCTTGTAGAGGCAAATACCACCCTTCTACCTTCCTCTACTGTTGCAATTAAATAGTTCACGAAAAGATGTATGTTCTACATATAAACAACGTTGCCATTCACAAAGCATTTAGCATTTTCAGTTAAGCACTATGATTCCACAAAGAAGCAAACAAACATTGTGAGATACTGCAGAAAGCTGCCATCATCTTCTGGCATTTTCTTCCTCCAGAGGTCCTTACAGTCAAGGGGACAAACCTCCTGTTACTTCCTTAGCTCCCTGAGTCAAATCCCCACTGAAAGACCATATTATATTTTCTCCCCGCATTCCATTTACTCGTTCCATCAAAAGAGATGGTCTTTGGGCTCTCTACCCCGTATTTTAATTCAACCCCTACTCAGGTAAATCACCACTGGCGCAGCCAAAGGATCATGTCTCCAATAATGGGTTTGCAACAACCTCTTCTCAGTGTTGTCACCACACCGTCCCCTCCTGTCAGCTCAGAGAAAGGCAAGCACAGTCCATCTTCCCAAGGGATACTTATGTTCTTAGTTTCAAAACAAGTCATGGATGTAGGGTGGCATAGAGAAACATCCTTGGCCTTTTAAATTAAGTAGATACCACAGCTCCTGAGCCTCCCCTACCACATGCTGAGACACTGGGGAAATATCAGTCCAAAGCATCCCAGGAAAGATACCCACTGGTAGTTTCTTCCAAGAGGGGGTGGACTATCATCATATTAATGCACATTTATGAGTCTTCAATGCTGCAGAAGAGTAAATTCTGAAGCATTACCAGAGCCATGAGCCATTACTCTTGTAGCTTCCTCTGCCTCTTCCAACAGGCATGGCGCTCACTTTGTTTGGCATGTTTACATGAAGGCAACCAGTTCCCCAGGCAGAACAGAGAGCCCTAAAACCAGGTTGTCTTGTGACTGAAAACTGAAATGAGGCCACTTTGAGTTTTCTTTTCATGGATTCACTTCCCACTGAGATAATTTTATCAAGAACGTTCTTGGCCTTATATTTTTAGCATCTCCCAATGAATTACTAGGCTAGTTTGGGTTAGCTGCTGTCTTTTAAAGGAGGAAGCGTGCCCAACTGACCTGAAATCGTCGCATGTCTCGAGGGTTTCCTGCATTTTTTAGACAATTTTGGTTACATTTGAGAAAAAATTTCAAGAAGAACCTGTGGAGAAAGAGAAATGGGCATTATCATCTTATAAACAGTGCACAACAGTGATACATTGTTACATCTGTACATTTGGTCTAACAAAGCCTTATTTACAACAGCAATTTCAACTCAGACAATTTATACCACTGACTGTCCACTGAGGGATCAGAGGCCACAGTCCAGCAAAATGTGTAAGGATGTCCTAGGGTGTATGTGAACTTAACAGTTCTGCTGTAATAGAGCCATTAAAGACTTCAGATATGGTCCCTCCTTCATACTAAATAGCCAAACTCATAGAACAAGAAAGTAAGAGATATATGTTGTGGTCCAGCAAGAAGAGAAATGAAAAATACCAGCCAAGAAAATTTTTTCACGTATAAAAGGGATTTTGTTTTACAAGTTCAATTTAGCATGCACATTTTGATTTAATACAAAAATACAGAAACCATTCCATAGAATCAAAATCTCCCTTCCACAATTACACTCAGTTTGTACACAATATTGAGATGCTTAAACAGTGGTTAGCAAAAGACCAAAAGCCCACAAGAAGGACAGGGAAGTCTTAGTTAAAAGACTGACATCATGGAAAAGTGAAATATTTTCAATGCTGCCTATTTCCTGGCCATACACAGTTCACTGAAGTAGCTATGTGACCCTGACATATATCTCTAAGAAAATACATTGCATTTTACAAAGCCAAAGAAAAAAGCAAACATTTCACTGAAAATATTTCCTTCGGTGTTATGCGTCAGTGGACTGTAAACTCATAAAGACAAGTCAATGAATAATGGTAGGTCTCAGATTCCAGGCTTTCTCCTTGAGAGCCAAAGTTTATCAGCCTTTTGTCCAAAATAAACTACAGACTAAGGCCTACTAAAGCTCAGCTGTGCAAAATTTAATCCTACAGCAAGTTTAAAACCTAGTGCAACCAGACAGAGCAGCATTACATTTGCAATAACCATCAGTTGACTAAGCAGAAGTTAATCTGACCTGTCTCCACATAAAAAAAAGCAAGGCGAGGGATTGTTTGGTCCTGCTTTGCTTGAAATTGGAAAGTTAACTTCTGCAAGCACCCATCTTTTAACACCCAAACTGAATGCAAAGTCAGCAGAATTTGCACACACTGCCAACAAGAAAGGCAAAAGTGGAAGGTAAACAGCTACAGAAAATCCCTTTTTGATGAGCAGCATTCTTTGCCCTGCTCTAGTTGGGATGCTGCCCCTCAAACCAGCAAGCTTCAGGGCTTGTTCCTCCATGCCAGGAAAATCATGCCGGCAAATCATGCCAGGCAAGGACCAAGTCAAAATCCAAGGGACTGTCTTCACTAGAGAAAAGTAAGGTAATGTGGGGGTTATAAACTGCAATGCCCAGGATTAACAAGGATTGATGTCCTGGCCCACAAAGTCCCTTCTCTCCCTGTGCTCAGAAATAAAAGCAAGCGATCAGCAAACAATATAAAAATAAACAGGCATCACTCTTGAAGAGAAGTTTGGAAACACTGTGTTTGTTTATGCCAAAATTAAGAGAGGTATAAGCCGTTACACTTTCTCATCAAGCAGGTTCTGATTTTCAATAACTGAAAGTTGGTGCTATTTGTTGTACGCGCGTGTGTCTTTTTAAGCCTCTAATAGCCAGCTGTGACAGCCTGACTCAGATTGCGTAGAAGGAGCTGTCAGCACAAATCTTGGCATCTCAGATCCAGACAACTGCTTGCCACCAGGCAAAGGTTTGTACTCGTGCCAGAATGGATTCTGAGAGACAAGCAAACAGGGCATTAATTCTGCCAAAGAAAAACGAAAAGCAGGGAGAGTTCAGGATCTTACACTTCAGATTATGGTTTTCCTCTCAACAGCTCATCATTTAGTTCATGAGCTATGAAGGGCATGGACATCAGATCCCCCTTGCACTAAGCTGGCCCTGTCAAACAAAATGCTGGCAGGACGCAGAGACCACCTCTCCAGGCAAAGCTGTTTGCTGAAACAAAAAGCCTGGCCATCTGTTGGGAACTAAAGACACCCCTGTCAGCCTGCGCTTACAACCTCAAACAAGCCCTTATGTGGCAAAGCCTCAGGACTACTCATTCTATGGGATGAAGCCTACGCTCACGAAGGTTTGTTGTGGGACTATTCAGAGTTCTGCCGAGTGCTGGGCTCAGCAGCTGCATCCTTGGTCTGCTGCAACCCTACAGCCGTACCATGGCCCCAAACAGAGCTGGGAAATGGTAGAATTAAACATATCAGCACTGAAAGATAGCATAGGCCGTGCAAAGGCTTCCCAGCCACCTCACCACACACATAAGATGCACAGCTGGAGGCTTGACGCCCCTCAGAAGAGATGGAAAGCTCTTGGTGAATCTCTGGACAAACACTGCGCATTGCAGCTGGGAGATTCACTACAAAATACACGAACTGTGTTCTGGAGTTTCCAAACTCTGACACAAAGTTTCAAAATCTAACTCTAATTGCTCCATTTTCACCAAATCTTAGGGAAGCTTCACCAAGATAAGCTGTAGAAGAAATTAGACTAATCTATTTAAGTCTACCGAAAGACCTCAGGTAAGCAACAAAACTTTCATTTGAATTAAATCAACTCAATAAAAAATTAACTTAAATTTTTTTTTTCAGATGAATTTTCGAGATACCTTACTTACACAGCCAAGTTCATCCATTGTGTTTTAAGTACAAATTTGCCTGCTCACAGTATCACAGAATGTCAGGGATTGGAAAGGACCTCAAAAGATCATCTAGCCCAATCCTCCTGCTAGAGCAAGAACACCTAGATTAGCTCACACAGGAACACATCCAGGAGGGTTTTGAATGTCTCCAGAGAAGGAAACCCCACAAGGTCTCTGGGCAGCCTGTTCCAGCGTTCTGTTACTCTCACTGTGAAGAATACATCCTACCAAGCACTGCATTTTTATTCCACTGAAAGATAAAAAGACATATAGGCTTTGCACTGTTGGAATGCGCAAGAGCTGGAGCCTCCAGCTCCGTGACACATCCCATGCTGGCCCAAACAAGAGGTGAGCAGCTCGCAGGCTGGCCCAGTGCTCTCCAGCTGCCAGTGTCCCCACTATGACCAACAAATCGATCAGAATGAGAGCAAAGCGTCACAGTTTGACTCAAGAGGTTCAGGTCTACCTCTCGGTTCCTGCTTGAAATTAATTGCCCCACTGCCTTCTTCACCTCCAGTCCAGTTCTGCCAGCCTCGCTCATTAGCAGCACTTCACTCTGCAAATATTTCAGATTTAGATTGACAGGACTGGTCCAGGAGAAGTGCCAGCAGAGCTGAGCCCTTTGTAAGCACAAACTTCCATCTCTGTTTGTTTGCATCTAACTTCTTCACTGTGGGTTTTTTTTTTCAGCTCTAACATTCTCCCCATTTAACAGGGCTGGGTAGCATTAATAGTAACCACAGAGGATATATAGCATTAATGCTAACCACTGGGGCCTGAAATTCATTCTGAAAATGAAAAAAATGTGAAAAACAGTGGAATGTCAGTGCAATCTTCAACTTTAACTCTCTCCAAACTTATATGACTGCTAAACACCAAATCTTTTACCACACAAGACTCAGACATTAATTATAGTTATTGCTACCACTCAAAGCTTCTTTTCGCATGAATCAAACAAAACACATTTTCCAGCTCCATTCCCAACTACTGACATCTCTGGCATAAGGAGAACTGGTGCATATGGAGCACAGAAACACAAGCCAAATCCACAGGAGTGAGCTCAGGTCCATAAATATGCAAACTTTCATGAAGGACCTAGGTCGACTGACTTGCATTACTATTAAATGTGAAGCTTTGGGCTTCATCCCTTATCCCATCTGGATATGGGATTCCAGTTCGGGGAAAAACAAGTTAGTTCTAGATTCTAAACTATGATAAAATGCAGCTCAGTGCAGCTGCAAAAATGAATCAAGCATCAAAATCTGTGTGCATGTAGCCTAGCCATGGCATCGTCCTACCACAAATCTCCAAGAAATTGCAAGGACCAATGTAGAACTTCCAGCTAAATACAAAATTCCAGTCTAAATCAGACAAAAATTAATCTGAATTTCCAGCTGAATTTCAGCTGGAAGCTCCAACAGATGGTTAATTAGCTCTTCTGGAAGGGTTTTCTCCTCACAACTTGAATGAAAATTCCCCTTAAGAGACTTTTTTCCTCACAAAACTGCTCCTTTCCCAGGAAGGTTTTGGTCTGAGCAGGACTCTGCTCTCACCACTGCCCCACTCTGCCAGTGAGGGGCCCTTTCCCCAACCCTGTCTGAGCTCTCTGGCTGCTCTGCTGCCTTCCCGCTTTGCTTCCTCTCCTCCCTCCTGACACCTTGCAGGAGTTGGACCTGATGATCCTTATGGGTCCCTTCCAATTCAGGGTATATTATAATTCTATGGTTTTACCTGCTCCCCACTTCTGCTGGCTCCCTCCTGACACCCGTCCTCTGATTCCCCTCCTTCCACCACAAATTAATGCCCATGCTTATTCAAAGTAAACAAAGAGTTAAAGAAAGCAAGTCCTGACACGATCTGGGCTGGTTCTTCTGTCACTCCCCTGAAGGAAATTTAAAGGAACTCAAATACGAAAGCTCAGCAGTAGGATTTTCTTGCCATTGCCACAATAAATATGTTTGTGGAAGGAGAAAAAAATAGTTGGAAAGGGAAGACCTGCTGCATTCCTGATGCTGAAGAAAAGCTTGTTTGTTCCCAATACATTGGAGAAGTTGTTCAGGAACAGTTCATCCATGTGAAAATATGACAGCTGTCGGGCTGCCAAGGTCAGCCAGAGCAGTGGCTATCCAGAAGTGCCAGGGATACAACTTAAACCTCTTTAGGGCAAGCAAATCGGACAAAACTCAACTCTTCTGTGCCGTAAATGCATTTGATAGAAGAGAGCAAATTTAGACTCTTGGGTGAAACACAGCAGTAAGTACATTAGTAAATGCAAACTACGTGCAATAATTAGCAACTGCCCACCAGATAAAAGGATCGCACGCTCATTCTGAACGATGTA